TATTTTAATGCATTATTGAAACAAAATGATCCATATATGCCAGAAGCAGAAGGAAAACAAGTTATTGTTAATACATTTTCAAACATCAATACTGACATAGAAGCTTGTCTGTCAAATAAGATCAGTTGTCAAGTAGATAAACTTTCAACATTTAAATCTGAAACACAATTTCAAAATAGGATCAAACATTTTTGGCTGGAATCTGATAAACAAATATTCATTCTTCAATGTGATATAACAACTGTCAATGTGGGATGTATTAAATTAGCTAAATTTATTATTGAACAATTACATGGAGAATTCTTAATTAAAAGACACAATAGCAACAACAAAATTCCAATGAAACATGCTTGTATAATTTTACACATTCGCCATGAGCAAGAAACACCTTTTAATTTCATGTGTGGATGGGAGCAAATTACTATTGAAACATTACAAGTCCAAGATAAACCTTTATCCAGCTTTTTGGAAAAATCTATGGCTGATATTATCAATACTATATATCCATTTGAAGATATCTTGAAACAAGAATTATTATGGTGTTTATCATGTATGGAATATCCTCATTCACAGAAATCATTAGATCATATTAGGTATGTATTTATTTATTTATTTATTTAAAAATTTTAGTAATTGATTTTTTAAATAATGATGTGTGTTTATTTTAGGGTTCTAATTACACAAATTCCAAATAATAAAAATCTGGTCACATGTTTAAAGGACCGAACACAAAAATGGTTGGAAACAAATCCTGAACCAGATTGGCAAAACAAAGTTGCATCAGACAAAAAACTTTTATACCCATATTCTTCATTTTCAGGTGCATTACAAGCATATTTACGTATCATTATTCGGAAACCAATTGCAAAACTTTTATGTGCAATTGAAAGGTTATCAGCAACCAGTACCTTATTTTTGATTGATGGAATGCAAGAAATAGAGCAATCTCAAAATCTACTTGAGTTCTGGATAAAATGTTTTATGGATCAAAAAATTGTGAACATTGATGAAATATCAGATCCTAAGCCAGATGGATATAGTATATCTGTAAATAATTATAATCTTGAACTTCCATTTTCATTTTATTTTGTGAAAAGAATTGAATCATTTAAAGAGTTATTTGAAGAAGAAATAAATCAGTACAATGATAATGAGGGAAATATTGATCCTAAGACTGGAGAACTTTACCATCATTTTTTTGATGGTTACATAAAAGGCTTTTCAATTATTGTTAAAAATTCCATACCATCATTCAAAAAATCTTTATTAAATTTATACCCACATTTGTACTTCAATGATTTTGTTAAGATAATTTCTTCTGACGATCCTGCTGGTTATGAAAATTTGGCATCTTTACTTACAAAACTTATAGGAGAAAAGCAAATTTTGGATCCAGTTTTTTTACATGCATATTGGTGGAGGAATGCAAAGAGTGTTTTAAATGAATATCAATCAAAATTTCCAAAGGTTAAGATAACAGATTGTAATAACTCTGAATCTTTTGAGCATTCACAAGTTAAGGAGATGGTAAGGGTCATGTTATATTATATTAGTGAATTACAAAACTTGACACATAATATTTTTGAACAATGGCAACATGATGTTACAAAAGTTTTATCACTTGGAATGAAAGTTTTGAAAGGTCAACAATTACTTTCTCATCAAATGCTAAGTATTTGTAATGATTTTGCAAATACTATTCTAATGTCAAATATAAAAGAAATAATTGAAATTGGAAAGGAATCAAATGAACAAGAAATTCCTTTAGCTGATTTTATTAACAAGATCTTTGATGTTCTTTACCAAATTGAACCAATTGATAAATATTCAAGTATTAATGATGCTTATAAAGAAAAATTGACATCAGAGCAAGAGAATGAAATTGCATCTGTGGTTTGGTTTGCTAATAATCAACAACACCAACCACAACGATCAACAATGATGATTGATCAAAGGGCAAAAATACCAGCAGATGCACTTATCGTAGCATTGAAAAGATTTATGTTAAGATTTTTGTCTGCAGAGTCAAAAGATTACTCAAAACATCTATTGAGTATTTATTTAAAAAATGAGGATTTATATTTCTGGCCATTAGGAATTGATGAAGCAATAATTGGATTGTTTCCAGATACATTATTGGTTTCACATACATTTGCTACATATGAATTCTGTGTGCAAAGATCAAATATCAAAAATAAACTGGACAAGATAATAATCCAGCAAGAAAGGGCAAAACAGATTTGATAATATGTAAACACAAACATTTTTTTATTTTATTATTTATTATATAAACGTTTAACATTTTGAATTTGTTAAAATTATTGATAAAGTAAACCTTTTTAAGCATGTGTTCTTCCTACTTTTTTTTCATTGAATAATTTCAAGCACTTGTATAAGAATTATAAAAAAAATTTGTTTGACTATTTCAAAATAAATGATTAATTTAATTTAATTAATGGAAGAGAATCAAAAAGAAAAAATTAATTTTAATAAATTATGCTCTATTATAATGAAAGCTATAATTAATAATGATATTTACAAAAGCATTTTCCATTCCTTTTTTGTTTCATTATTTTTTTTATTAATAACGAATTATGAAGGCAAGAAAAGGTGGAATCAATGATCCAATTTATATAATTGTAATATCAGTAATTTATTTTGCAGTATTTTTTGTTTTATCTGTAAAAGAAAGTTTTTACAAAATAAAACGAAATCTTTATTTATTATTATATTTTGTAGGAAGAAGGTGACAATAGAAATGGTTCAATATATACATCTTCATCACCGCCATCATCGTTGCCAATATCAACACCAAAAACAATTTTTCCAACACCAATATTAGCATCTTCATCTTCTTCATTAACAGAACCGTTATCGTCATCTTTACTAACAACAACAGCATCTTCTACTACTAATAGTATTAATAGTTCATCATTTGTAATAAAATTAGAACCAGAAGGGAATGAAATTGAGAAAATGAATCATACAATTAAGGTAATTTAAATAAGTGGTGTTGGTAGAGAAAGATTGATTAGTTATCTGCTTGAACGTGATTCTTCAATTTTCAAATTTTAAATAATAATAAAAGCAAGAAGAAATCGATATTTCTTTATTACCAATTATTACATCAAGAAGACACGCTTCAACACCTTTATTTTACAACAACAAGAATTCATCATCATCTTCGTTACCATCATCATCTGTTTCTAATTCTTCTTCTTCTTCACTATATCCATTACCATCATCGCTTTCTTTACTAAACACAAACAATACAAATCGTTGGAGCCCACATGATGATTCTCGATTATTAACAGGATTGGTTGAATTTGGTGGTAAATGGGCTTTGATTTCTAGAAATCATTTTAATGGTAACAAATCATCTATTTCTTGTCGAAGAAGATTTGAAGCATTATCCAGAAAAATTCTTCAAAGAAAAAAAATTGATTAATGGGTGGTGACGAAGAAGGAATATTTTTCTATTATGTTTTTTATTTTACTAATATATATAATAAAATAAAGAAACTAATTATATTATAATAATCAAGCTTTTCTTGATTTAAAAGTTATAATTGGAATGGCGACTTTCAGATTTTAAAAAAATTTCCTTAATATTATAAGGGCTTAGGCTCTGACTGATACATGAAACCGAAATGATAAATGATAGAAATTATTTTAACATTGTTTTCAATTACATCATTTAATAAATTTTGAAAAAGTAACAAATTTTTTATTGTCTGAGAGTAAATGCAATTGTTTATCTGACGAAAATTTTTTATACCATTTCTGACAAGTCTTCTAAAGAATATATATAATCTTTTTGTGAAGACAATAATCAACGAAATTAAACATTCTGTATCAACTTGTTGAAAATGTCTGCAAGTTTATTTATATATAAAGACCATAGATTGTGATTGGACTTTATAAATATATAGGACATCTTCATATTATATCAAATTACGATGCCACCCGCCTCCAACTGTGTAGGTGCTTTTTTCCGCAAACAAAGTTCTATCTTACCACTTTCTTAGGAGCGACAACGATCGTATTATATGTTCAAAATTTTAATGTTCAGATATACAGAATCTATAATATTAATAATGCAATATAGCGAGTGACGATAAAAATATTGGAAAGTTGATTAATTTTTAAATCCTTAAGGCCTCTTTTTATTAATAGAATTTAGATTGTAAAATAGGAATAATTTTTGACATTACGTATAATCGTCCTGCTAATTTATTTTTTAAAATTTCGATCATGAGACTATTTTGAAGTCGAACTCAAAGCCAATTCTTCATTCACTCGGGTGCCAAATTTTTACATTATATTATCAAACTTCAGTAATTTATTTCAATTGCACATGTAAAAAGATTTTGACGAATATAATAAAGGGTGACGTGGAACTTATACCGGTTACATTAATAACATCTATCTATTGCATAATAATAAATATTACATAGAATTCCCAATTAGTGAATTTGACATTTAAACCATTCTCGCTTAATTCCAGGTCCATGAAGTCTTGAACTATATTCTACAAGATGGATCTCACGAATAAATAAATTAATGATTGTGAGACAAACCAATGAAATGAGGGAGTTGATGAACTTTATCAAGATAACTTGTATCTGACTGAAATTTGGCAATTAGTATTAATATTAATTAAAAAACATTTCGAAGTTCAATCATTCTAATTGTCTTTACCAACAAAAAAACAATCTATTTCCATGGTAAAATTTTAGAGCGGCACAGGTTATAAAGTCTTCATTACCATTAATAGAATTAGAATTATTAAAAAACTACTACTATCTGGGTAATTACGATTTACCATTAGTAAATAAAATAAAAAATTCTCTTTATTATTTTATTCTGTGCTTTAATTATTATTAAATCTATTAATATTATATCAATCATAAAACCACAAATTAAACAATTAATTAAAACCCAATATGCTATCAACATCGATTTTAGTTCTAATCTTGGTTGCTCATTTGAGCCAAAGCATCATTATTTTGATCTCTAACTTCTGAAATAACCTTGAAAATTCGTCCCCTTTCTTCTTGTTCAGCTGCAGTACCAACTTTCTCGAATGCCTCCTCACTCCTATCAAGTAAACGTACCAAATCTGTATCTGGAATAATCTCATCCCCTAACTGAGCCAATTGAACTTTCTCATTATCTTCTCCTGCTAAAATTTCTTCCAATTCAGCTAGACTGGCAATTGGATTGTCACGAGATGTTGGAAGCTTGAATTTTCCTTTATGGATAACCAATTTTTCCAACTTTCTTTTGGCAGATGCTTTCTCTAAAATCTTACATTCTATAGTATTTGCAGTTACCATTCTGTAAATTATAACTGGTCTCGTTTGTCCAATACGATGTACACGATCTTGTGCCTGTAAATCTATTTGTGGATTCTAAAGGAGGGTGGAGTAAAAAGTTAATATATTGAATACTATGTATTAAATATAGTAGGTAGTATAACTATACCCAGTCACTATCATATATAATAACAGTATCGGCAGCAGTCAAGTTAATGCCCAACCCGCCAGCACGTGTTGAAAGAATGAATAATTTTATTTTAGGATTTGTATTAAATTCTTGGATCTATAATCAATCAATATGTATAATTAGAACACCACACACATAATATAATTTAAGACACCTAGACACAAACAAAACACATACTTGTTTTCTTCTAGTTTCTTGGTCTATGCTACCATCAATTCTACACAATTGCCAGTTTTCATATGTAGTAGCCCAATCTTCAATAATGTCAAGCATAGTTGTGAATTGTGAAAATATTAGAACTTTATGGTCGCGTTCAAATAGCGCATCAAGCAATCTCTTTAACAATATCATTTTTCCGGAAGCGGCAATCAATTCTTTAGATATTTGGTAGGTATCTGTTTCTGGATCAACAGGCCAATCAAACAAATAAGGATGATTACAAATTTTGCGCAGCTGCATAACTGCATTCTGTAATTTCATGCAATTGACAGATTTGACTACATAATAAACAAATAGGTGAAATAATGGTGTATGAGTAAGAGTAAGTAATTGGTGAATAATAATAAAAATAAATATAAAAATCAGTGCACAAATAACAAATAATTCAATTCTAAAATAAATAGCTTATAACTTACCAACTCTGTTAGTTTTTGTTTCTTTTTCAGCTATAATACTGTTTTCTAGCAACTCTTCTTGGCTAATTTCATCTTCACCTTTCTCAATAACATCAAAAAATTCATCGTCTGTCATTTCTTTATAAGCTCTTGGTTTCAATCTACGTAATTTGCTACCTCGAATGTAACTTTCTGATATTGAATCTGGGTTATTATTAATGATATCGTTATTATTACTGCTGGTGCTGTTGTTGTCAGCGTTTTGGATGGCATTTTGGTTATTGTCTTTGTTATTTTCATTTTGGTTGTTATTGGTCTCGTTGTTGTCGAGAAAATCAACTTTTTATAGAACGTAAATGCGGCGATAAAAAATATTTATGATGAGCATAATTGCATATACACATATACATTGTAATTAGTTTATAGATCATTATTACCATTATCGATATCCATCGGATCTACCATTGTATCGCCATCTAACTCTCTGCCTAATTTTTTCCCTAAAAGAAAAGGGCGAATATTTCTACTCAAGATAGCATCATATACTTCTTTTTGTTGACGAGTTAATGGTGCATATAAAAGAAATTCCTTTTTCTTTGGAAGCGCATATTCAACTATAACAACAACCAAAATATTATATAATTAATTGAATCAATAAAATAAATAAATTTCTTGTCATGCTTATTTTGACAATAATAGTAATGAATGACATTATACCATCACTTTTCAAGCGACGTAGTAGGAATGGTTTTAAAATTCTATGAAGATTACTAACGACTTCGTTTTGTTGCTCTTTGGCAAGTATGACTGTTTCACCGTCTTGTTGATGAAGTGCGGAAAAATCAAACCTTTACAATAAAAAATAAATATTAAATATAAATGATATCATGTGATTCACCGACTCATTAATTGGTTCATTGATAAATTACCATTCTTGGAAACTGTCAAGATCGTCGAATATATCAGGTAAAAGGAAATTTAAAAGACTCCATAATTCTGCCAGATTATTCTTTCGAGTTGTTTTTTTAAAAAAAATGGTAATTAAGCAAATTAACACATTTTCATTATTTCCAAACAATTTATCACGCAATAATAAGAGCAGCTGCAAATACCTGTAAAGGAGTACCAGTTAAAAGCAATCGATTGGCGGATTGATAGGTTTTTAATTCTCTTATAAGCTTACAATTTAAATTTTTGATACGATGTCCTTCGTCAACTACGATGTATTTCCAGGCATATTTCTTTTTGTTTGTATAATTGGAGAAGAAAAAAAGTTAGATTAAAAGGTATGTAATATTTAAATTAATTAACTAATTAAATAAAAATACTAACTTGAAGATATTTTCGATCATTCATGACAATCTCGTAACTTGTAACTACAATTGGGAAAGTGTGATCAATTTTTTTAAGTCGTCTACTTCTCATATGTGCACGTTCTTCGATAGTGCCATGATATAGTACAACAGGTAATGTAGGAGTAAATCTATTTTATATGTATATATAATAATTTATATATTTACATTTACGTGTTTATAAATATGCATAATGTGTGCTTTAACATGTTTATTTTTACCTGTGAACTTCACTAACCCAATTGGCAAGTGTTGAAAGTGGAGCAACAATGAGGAATGGACCATAGATCTTATTCTCCCAAAGATAAGCTAGAAAAGCAATGGTTTGTAAAGTCTAATTTTTACGTATATATATAACGAAGAGAAAAGAGAAGGAAATAAAGATTATTATTATTTATCTATCAAATAAAAACCACTTTATTATTATTAACAAATGATTATATTAAAATATTAATTCATACTTTTCCCAAGCCCATTTCATCGGCCAAGATTCCATTCAATCCATTGTCATATAAACTCACAAGCCATTCAAAACCAGTCAATTGATAGTCACGGAGGATACCACCAGTTACCAATTTTGGTTGGCGAGCAGAAATCAATGATCGATCGAAATCACCATTGGTTTGATTATTATTAGTTACTTCCTCATTTGCCAAGTCATCATCTGGTTTGTCCTTCGATGCTTCATCGGCCGAACCTGCCGGTGGTATGTAAACCTCAACCTCCGGATAATCTCCCGGATTAAAATTCTCAACTACAGCTGCAGTGGTATAGTCACCTTTACGACGCTTGGAAATATCCTATAATTTGTTTATCGAGCTATTATAATTAATTAATCTCATCCATATTTATAATTATCAATATGAAATAAATAAGATGAGTAACTTGCATTTTTTTTAACATAATCTAAAATGTTGTAACTTGAGTCATCAGCTTTTCTTTTCTTTGGAGCACCTCTTTTTTTTGTTGTTGATTGCTGTTGATTTATAGAAATGGAAGATGAGTTATCAGCAACATCAGAGGTCAAAGCAACTGAAGCAACTGGAGAAGCAGGAGCAGTGGAAGGTTTCGTCGTCGTCGTTGTCGTAAGTTTTGTAGTAGTGGATCTTGAAGATTTACGTGTAGGTCCAGCAGAAATTTTTTCTTGTTTTTCTTTAGCTTTCGCGCGCCTTATTTCTTCAGCTTGAGCACGTTCACGTTGTTCTTGTTGTTGTCTTTCCATTTTATTCGCAAGAAATTGAGCGTAGAGCGATGATTTTTCTAAAAGAAATTTAAGACGTTGAACACGCTGTTTATCAACTAATGCATCATAATCTGCAACAGCCTAATAATTTATGCGAAAGTACGTATATTTATTATATTTGATTTTGATTAATATTGACGCGTGATTTTATAATTTAATATATTATATTTTACTCATTGATTGATTAACCAAAAATTACGCGATTTTTTCATTTTCAATTTTAATTAATTAATTATTCGTTTTACCTTTTCTTTTAAAATTTTAAGATTATCTTTATCAGGCTCATTGTTAGGAGGAACATTTTTAACAACATATTCACTCTTTATAAGATCGTTATTAATTTCATCTATAGGTGTGGCAACAGAAGAAGAATCTGTTCCAAATGTTGAAATTGAATCCTAAAATAAAGTATATTGTATATAATAAATACACATTAATAAATTTATTAATTAATGAAATTACAAAACACGAGTTAATTTAACATTAATATTAAAATTATTAGACGTGTTTTTTCTCCTAATTACTTTTTCAAGCGAGGGTACTACAGGGTCATCAGAGAAGCTTGTTTTACTGCTAAAGGCAGAACTATTATTAAAAAGAGTAGTGTCGATAGTATCAGGTGTAATATTAGGTGTGTCGGGTGTGATAGAACCTTTAGCAGTTATTTTTTCAGTTTTTGTTGGTGCATTATCAGGCGTTATAATAGTATCAGCATCAGTTGTAAAGTCAAAAATTGTTGTAGCATCATCCCCTAGTCTTGACATATTATATTATTTAGTTTATTTTAAAAAAATTTTCTATTATATTATTATATTATTTATTTTATTCTATCTAACAAAAGAATTTTATAAAGAAATAAAAAAAAAAAATAGGCGCGTAAAAAAAATTAAAAAAAAAATATATGTTGTGAAATAATAATTATAGGAAAATTTTTTGAGAGTGGAGTGTTGTTGTTCATTTAATGAATATATTTAAATTGGATCTTTTTGTGCAGAAAAGAAAAAATTTTTTTTATCATTTATCTATCTATTTATATTTATAATAATAATCATAATCTTAATTAATCAATTAACTAACTACTTTATCCTTTAAAAACTTCTGATCAATTGCAATTACGTAATTGTATTATTATTCGACCTTATCGTCCGTCACGTTTATTATTGATTATTTCAAATAATTGTAAGACCTTCGTGCAGCATATTATTGTGATACAATTATATAGTTGTATGTATTGTATTTATTTATATATATTGATATTAATTAATAAAAGTGTTAAAATTTATAAAAATGTTTTTTATCACTAAAAGTTTCTTGCAAAGAAATTGTATAGTTAACTTCATTTTAAAGGTAATTAATTACTGCGGAAATAATAATTTTGGGCAAGAAATCACTACTAAATCGGGATATTGTCAAAAAAAAAAAAATTTTTTTCAAAAAAAATTTCCATCTATAAAACATACATAAGAAAATAAAATGGACAAAATTTCTGAAATAAACAATAAAAATTTATCTGAAAATGATAATAATAATACAGATCAATATGAAATTTTCAATTTTCCACAAGAATTAGAACAATCAATTAACAAAATACTCAAGTATAATGATCCTTTGGATGGAAGTGATTTTAATCCGATAGAGTATATTAATCAAATCATTCCAAATGGTAATTATATTAAACCTTTTTGTTGTTTTATACATTTGCTGAAATTTACACAATTGATTGTTAATATACTCTGATTTAATTCTGATTAGAACATTCATTGGCATCAATTGATGTTACTACAAAAAAGCTTCAATTAAAAATGCGTCAAATAGAGGGTGAGATTAGAGAACTTACAAGATTACAAGTCGATGATCAACAAGGAGTTGAAGAAGTCGAACAAGCAAAAAAAGAAATCGAGGTTCACATGCACAAATATATTTAGATGTTTATAATGAAAAAAAATAAATATATACTATTGGTTGTTTCCAATTCGCTAACAATCATTAATTGAATACAGGAACTTTTTGAACGGATAAGGCAAATACGCGATAAAGCAGCTCAATCAGTAGTTATGGTACAAGAAATAACTCAAGATATAAAATCTCTTGATTATGCAAAAAAACACTTGACATTGTCCATCACTGCTCTAAAAAGATTACAAATGCTCGGTAAGATTATTATCGAAGATGTTTTATAAAAATGCTTTTATGAAACATTTGTTGATGATAATATTTCATTTCACAGTAACTGCTGTTGATCAATTAAAAATTATGGCAGAAATGAAACAATATAAAGAGACATCACAACTATTGCAGGTAAATATTAATCAATTTTTTTATTACTTTTTATACCATTTTAATGTTATTCACTATTGTTTTCTATTGGGGTAAAAAATGGAAAAAGGCAGTTTTACAGCTTGCGGCATTCTTTAAAAAATATAGAAATATTCAACAAATTGCTGTATTATTATCAACAATAAATACATTTCAAAACGATTTAAAAAAACAAATATTTAATGATTTTGAATCGAGGTAATTAATTAAATTGAAAACTATTTATTCTATTTTAGAGTTATAATAAATATTGATATTTTAATGGAAATATTTAAAAAGTTTTGGAACAGACGGGTTATTGAATGTTCAGACAGCACCACTCGATGAAGCATGTATGGTATTGGATATTATAGGACAAGATGTTAGAAATCAGATGATTAATTGGTATTGTGATAGACAATTAAACGATTATAAAAGAAAATTTAAAGGAATCGAAGAGGCAAGTTTTTATTTTTAACTGAGACGACGATCTTTCATAATAGTCATAGTATAAATAATAAATACAAATATATATTGATTATTAAATAATAATATATTGATAAACAATTAATTTATAGAGTTTATTTTTGGACAACATGTCAAGAAGATTCACATGGTTAAAAAAAGTTTTAAAAAACTATGATGAAGAACATGCAAATATATTTCCACAACACTGGAGATTAAGTGAGGTACTTTGTGGTAAATTTTGTGATATAACGAAGGAAGACTTGGCTAAAATATTGGCCAAGATTGGAAATGAATTGGACGTGAAAACATTATTGAAAAATTTGCAAATGACTTTGGAATTTGAAAATCAACTAACTAAAAGATTTAGTTTTTTGGTAATTGTAATAGTTGTATACAAATATATCTTATATAACTATTTAAATTTGTCTTATTAATGTTTATCGTTATTATTTATTGTTATTTCTTTAGGATAAGCCAAAGTTATCAAAGACATCAAAAGCGCAAAGTTCAGATAATGGTCAAAGATATATCTTTAATAAAAGTATATCTGTAAGTTATGAACCATATTTAGGTTTATACATTGAATCCGAAGACAAGTAAGATAATTATTTTAATTTGTATGTGATTCTTTGATCCATATACGCGAAATAATAATTAATAATGAATGAATAAATTGCAGAACAATATCAAATATGATTAGTTCATACATTACTGAGCCAATCCCAGATGATGACACTTCAGTATCAGTTCTACAATCCAGCATAGATTTATTTATATTTTACAAAGAATCATTGGAGAACTGTTCGAAATTATCAACCAGGAAGCCGTTATACGATTTATTTACCAAATTTGCTAAATATTTAAGAGTTTATGCAAATGATGTGTTAATTGGAAGGTTACCAAGGTCAATATTTTACAATTAGCATAAAAAGGTATATATATATATATATATATTTGTATATTTACTTATTTATAATAATTTTTTAAACTGTGTTACAGAGAGGAAAAACGAGCAATGTCAAAAGATGAATTGAAGTTGATTTGTTATATTATAAACACAGCAGATTATTGTTGTGTTACTACTTCACAGGTAAATTCAAAACTATGCATAAACTTTTTATAATTAAAAATTTTAAAATATATTAATCGTTAGTTTATATATTTTATTAGCTTGAAGATAAATTAATAGAAAAAATTGAAGAATTCAAAGAAAAAATTAGTTTGGATGCAGAACGGGATTATTTTTCACAGTAATTATCTGCAGATACACTTTTTTTTTCTTGCATCTAGAACTTTTACAAATTAAATATATTTTTGCAGTGTTGTAGTAACGGCTATTAAAACGTTAATACGGGGTATAGAATTATGTTATGAACCAGCACTTGTATCAATGACCAAAATACACTGGGGTACTTTGGAGTCAGTTGGAGATCAATCGGAATACGTTACTATGTTTCAAACAACTTTGAAATCTTGTGTTGTTAGTGCACACAAAGATATTACAAATGATAAATACTATGAAAGTTTTTGCGATAAATTCGTCGAGTAAGTTCCTTTTTTTTTTTTGAAGGAAAATGAACTGTTTTATAGGAAGAGAAATTGTTTAATAAAATATCTTTTTTTATCTGTTAGATCATTTGTTTCAAAATTAATAAGTAATTTATCAAAATGTAAACCTATTTCAGAAGTTGGCGCTGAACAGGTAACAGTTCATCCATCCAATTATGCATGTATATATGACATCTATATGGCTAATTTATATTTTAATTAGATGTTGTTGGATATCCACGCATTAAAAACAACATTATTGGAAATGCCTACAATGGGCAAAGAAAATATACCACCACCTTCTTCCACGTAAGTTACACATAAATTACATAGTAGTATTGATTATTAAATCACAAGTATTTACACGCCATAAACACACACGTACAGGTTTATAAGAATGGTTAATAAAGGGATTGGCAAAATGGAAGCCATATTAAAAGTTATACTTACACCACATGATCCACCTGATGGGTTAACAGGAAATTATTTCTTATTAATAGGAGATAAGAACTTGAACAATTTCCAAAAAATTTTAGAATTAAAGGTAAACAAACATATTTATTATTTATTCCTTCAATAATGTAAAACAAAACAAAAATTCATTGAATTAATTTATTTAATGGTAGGGAATAAAAAAACCAGATCAGCAACATATAATTGAAATATTTCAACAACGTATAACCGACCACTCAAATCTTGAAGAAAATTCCGAAATTATGAATTTAATCAATATATCTCAATCTTCTAACATCATTTCATTAACATCTACATCATTACCATCATCATTTCCAACTTTATTCACCGTACCATCATCATCAATTAATGCATTTAGTATAGTTGATGATATCGCTGATGGTAGTAGTGGCGGTGGCGGAGGTAGCAATAAAAGTACTATTTCTGCTAATAAATTTAATGAAAGTGTTCGAAAAGTTTTAAATGCTAGTTGGAGAAGAAAAGATAATGCTGGCGGGGAAGGAAACAAAAAAGACGAAGAAAAATTGTGAAAAGAATAAAAATATTATTTATTTATTTTATATATAGAGTAATAATAATTAATCAATTAATCTTTAAAATAATAATTATTCAATTTTAATCAATGCATGCATTTTTAATATTGATTTTTTTAAAATTGTGATATTTACATTATTTGATGATGTGACACCTACTTATCTTATTTGGATAACAGATAAAAAATAAAATTGATCAGATTTGCAACATTGTTTTTTTTCATTCACTATGTTGATATGTAACGTTAGGAATAAATGCTCCGCACTTGACATGAACTAGGGAATAAACTTGAGGATTTTTTTTCTATACACAGTGAATCTCGATTTAGCGGATACTAATTAAAAATCTCGGTTTTACGGATAAAGTTCAAAGAACGGTTCCAATATATGCTAATTTGTTTTATTAACAAAATTATAATAATTTCAACCAAGTTACATGTGCTTTGTCCAAAATAAAAAAACCCTTTATAATATATAAATAAAAATTTCAATAATAATAATGGTTATATCAATATCGTTATAACCAGTTTATCCACGCATCCTTCTGTTTTTATATAGTGCTAGCTATGATCAAAATCCAAAGTTTTTCAAACACACACACACGCACATTCAAAATAAATTGAATGAATAGAATAGAATTAATAATTACCCTATTACACAGAAATCCAGAAATCCAGGAAAATTAAGGAATCCGTTAACCTAGAAACCAGCCAACCAGAAATCCAATAGAATCGCTGATTTTCAATCAGATAAACCAATCAAATACAACGACCAGACCCTCAAATGCTAACCGTAGGCCAAGTTCAGAGAACAACGCGGGTACTAAACGAATGATTTACTTGATCTCTTTATATAGTATTATTATTAACCACATCAAGGATAGCACCTTCGATCGTTATCCCCATCCTCCATCCCCAACGATCAGACCCAGAACCCCGATAAATGTTGATATTCACTGAAAGAGTCGTACAGCGTAGGTAACTAAACGAATGATTTGCTTAATAGTTTTATATATAATCTATTATCAAACCATGTCAAGAATAGAACCGTCAGCAATCGTACCCTCTCATTTAATGCAAATTACAACAACTTTAAGAACCAGAACAGCGATTAACAAGTCCAGAAATCCCCAAGAAATCTGTCATCCCGCCTCCTCGAGATTTAAAATCCGTCGTTAGAGCAGGATACTAACTCATTAACCCCACCCTGGAAGGCTTTTACACTATAACATAATAAAAATAATAGTAAAAATAGACGTTAAAATTTTGCAAGTTTTAATTTTTTGCATATTCGTATATGCGTATTTTTTGAAATAACGAAGAAATGGGAATAGTGTGTATTTTGGCTGTAATAGGCATAGGTGTATGTCCCATTTTTTTCCTAAATAAAAAATAAATCACCAAATTCACCAAATAAACGGTTGTTTGTTATTTGTACCAATTTTTTTGTTGATGATATAGAAAATTTTTTTTTCGCCGAGTGAATATTTTATGATCGTGCCATTCTTGATCAGATGTTCTACTAATCAAAACTGTGACCTGCCACCTGAAAAAAAAATATTATTAAATCATCATCCAGAAGGAAACATGTTATTTCGAGATCGATGGTAAGGGAGCATCAAGAAAGCAGTCTCCTCTTCAAAGTGCTTTCGCTTTGACCATCCACAAAACACAAGGATTGACCCTGCAGAACATATTTGCCGAAGGACAAGTATATGTTGCAATGAGTCGAGCTCCTTCATTAAAAAACTTGAATATTCTCAGTTTTGACTACGCTCAATTAAAGGTTTCTAAAGCAGCGTTAAAAGAATATAAAAAGATTGGAAAAGGTTAACGCTGAAGAGTTGCAAAATTTGATAAGCGATAAAAAAAATAAATAGTAAAAATAGATCTATCAGTCATTCAACCTTTTTTGCAACTAAAAAAGTCAGTAATATTAATATTAATAAATTCGTGCGTTTTATTATTGTTGCTTTAGTATTAGCATCGCACTAGAAATTTGGAATTAATTCATTTATTATTTAAACAAGATTTTAAGTTAAACGTCGCAGTGAGGAGTAATAATGGCATAATGTATTAATTGCTTGCTGGTATTTTTAGTAGCAGGAAAGAGTCTTTTTCAAAAAAGCTTAAATAATTTTCTTTAACAATAATGGGATTAATCCCAAATTTTTAGTGGCGGGAAAAATATTTCTTTTATTTTTACTTATGAAAACTTTCCTTTTCTTTCGAAAATTTCCAAAGAGAGATAGTATCGTTGGCAATTCTTTCCAAAATATTGCCAATATTTTCTAAATTGTTACAAAGTATGTTGCTTTGGTTGAGTTGTATTCTTTCGTTAACAAAAACCTTCTCGATATAGTGGATATCTCGGTTTAACGAATTTTTGCCTAATTACCCAAACTGTTCGCTAAATCGAGATTCACTGTGTACTTGAGTTATTCAAATTATAAACAAGTATCCAGATAATTCATAAATGCGTGGGTGGCATTTGTGTCAATTGGAGCAGTAATGGCTAGAGCATTGGTAGAAAAAGAGAACAAACTGACAAATCACGGTGATAGGAGTGAACTTGATTGCGTAGCTTATACAAATACAGCGGAGGTGGGCGTATATTTTGAGGTCATAGGTCACTTTGATTTAGATATTAAAAATATCGCGACTCTGGGTTCATGTTGTCGAATTCGTGATTGTCCTCGTCATATTGTTTCCCTATTTTATCAAAAAAATTCTAGTGATCTTTTTCGACCACCAGGTTGTGAAAATATTCGCACAGGATATGCAGTTGCTTGGCCTGATGACTTGTCTACAGAAATAAAGGGGCATCGTGAGTGTGATGGTACTATTATTTCTTATAAAATTGACGAATTCTCCATCTGTAATAATATCCATTGAGGTCGAGCATCAGAAACGTCTTTCCGCAAGAAATTTATCGAGAAGCCTTGTAGTCTCATAGTCAGTACAGGTGTGAATCTTCAACTAATGAAAATGGATGAGAGTTAAGGGTGAAATTTTCACACATATTGTTTTATGAATAAAAAACACAAGTATTATCAATAAGTTAAACGAATTCAGTAATCATCCATCGCCCAATTACTACAATGTCGTCAGACAAAAGGTGGATGTTGTATCATATCGTCATTGCATCGAAATTAATCGATATCTTCCTAACGAATCGGAAAACTTACCATCCCCATATATTTGTAATTGGATCCCTGGTTTGTTTAATTTATCATTTCTCCATTCTAAGTTACATATTTTGTATTCATATCTTCTGATCCGAATAGCATTTTTATATTCTCTTAAGCTTCTGAGAATAAAAAAAACTATTATAAACAATTATTTAACGTCATCACTAACTTGTTAAAATTAATCTTTCAACAGAACTAGCTTTTCACCATTGCCTTTTATATACTTCTTTGTTTACCTTCAATTGATTCATACATATTACTTAATTTTTATAACTAATCACCTCTTTTTTCACTTTTACGTTCTGAACTTCATACTCTAAATTCCGAAAATGATTATAAATAATTAACACTGACTTGTTTTACATTTTAAACACAGAATAAAAAATATATAGGCTTAAAATTTTTTTACACAAATATGGGCGGGTATGTTACCCAAATTGTTCACGACCAAATATATCCATCAAATAATTGGAAATTGAACCTGATAAGAAAATGAGGCTTGTGCTTGTTGCCTTAATCAATAATAAAACGAGGCTAGAGTCTTGCTCGTAAAATACACGTTCAACAGCATAAGGACAAAAGGAAAATAAACAATATGATTAAAGAGAAAAGATGGATGATGAGTGAATAAAGCACAAGTTAGTCAACATCTCACAACCATTCTCCAATATAAGTATTCGTGTCATGATAGCTTTTGAACAATCCTCCTAACAACATATGTTTATCACTTGCCATGCTCACCTGCATTAATGGACAAATTGTAGATAATTGGCATATGGATAACGGGATGAATGAAATAGAATGAAAGTGATTTTGGCATATTTACTACTTGCTTTGAGACATGAATTTCCTTAAAATAATCAAGCTTCTCTTCATCCATTATCCAAGGAACAAGCACCACATCTGTCTCTGTTCTTAGATCAGTTTTTTTGAATGTAAACTCTTTCTTCTTTAAATAAGTTGAGTCAAGAGATTTCACTATATAGTCTGGTCATTTTTAGACAACAAAGTTGAGAGAAGATGCAATGTTTTGGCATTAAAAATTTTTTTCAATCATATTACTAACTTACATAGTAATGAAATTTTTTGAGATAATATGAAATCAAAAAGAAATAGTGCAAAAATTCAAAATAAAGACATGATTACAAGTAATATTGTCCAAAACAATAATGGTAGAGTGGAAAAGGAGGGTAATAGTTGGTGCTAAATCACAATGATAATCAATTAATAAAGAAGTCAAAATACAAGGCAAATCATCTCTATAACCACACTAAGGTCAAGGAAGAAAGAAGGAATTGATTTGGTGGTGACACTCAGATTTTGATGAAACAAATAAAAATACTGATGTAAAAATCATCATCCACTAGAGAGATTCCACCAAAGATTTTAAGTCTAAACTTGGTTTTTTTTTTCTTAAAAAAGGTTGCAATGACCATTTTTTATTAAAACAATTTTCAAAGCAAACATCATTTTGAAACAAATAAAATTTAGGCCTTTAAACTATTTCTACTATGATAAAACTTGGCCCACATATAAAATAATTTGTATGAATATATTTTCTCAAATCTTAATTATAATATTGTTATTGCTAGCATTTGTTCCATTGAATATAAAGAATTTATAGTAATAATATGGTGATAAACACTTACTAGCTAATAAAAAATTTTTTTGTAATCTGGTAAAAAAATAACACCATATTATATATATAAAATGAATATAAACAATAAAATGATGATGATAATAAGTTAATTAATGGTAAAGTGATACTTTAAAAATCCTATATCTTGATATTTTTTTAATAAATTTTCTAATTTTTCATTTTTTTTAAATAACTTTATTGTAAAAGGTTTGGGTCCTTTCCAATTACTCTCTAAAGTTCTCAATGAACTGTCAGAAAAAAAGATTTTAGAATAAAAAATTAAAGTATTCAAATTTTTTGGTAATATCTGATTTAAAATTGCCAACACTTTATCACCATCTATTACATCTCTATTAATATCATCATCTAACCTTAGACTTTTTAATTTGGTACATTTACTAATTATAAGAATTAGTTCTTGATCT